CCCCCCTTTGGGCCTGTCCCCCTCTCTTTGGGCCTCCGTCCCCCCCCCTTTGGGCCTCTGTCCCCTCTCTGGGTCTCTGTCCCACTCTCTTTGGGTTTATCCTCCACATCGAGTCTCTGTCCTCCCAGGTCTGTGGGTCCCTCTCGGGGTCTCTGTCCCCCCGCCGAGGCCGCCCATACCTGGCAGCCCACTCCTCATCCTTCGCCACAGCAGAGCTCCTCCCACAGCCGCTGCCGTCAGCAGCAGGACGCCGACGACGATCCCCACAACAAGCACGGAGGACTTGGCTGGAGATTCTGCAGCCAGAGAACACGGTGAGGTGAAGGGCAGCCCCTCCACCCCACCCAGTCAGGACACGGAACTGCGGGCTCCCAGTCCCTCCCCGCCTCGGAGATCCCAGCGCCAAGTGTCTGATGCGCAAGGCAAAGGCCAGGCGGGTGATCTGGGCAGAGTGCCCCCAGGCTGGACGCAAGAACCAGCCACGGCGCGAGCGGCCGCGGGAACACCGGCGGCGGACCGGCAGCGGCAGGGCGGGGCTGTCCCAGTGCAGACGCAAGGGGCAGGTAGAGCAGCGGGAGGTCAGCCTCACGGGCACCGGCAGTAGCAAGGCAGCAGGCGGTCAGTCTTGTGAGGACGGGCATAGCAGACAACGAATGGTCAGATTCCACGAAGACCCGCAGCAGCAGCAGCAGCAGGACGGAAGATGGTCAGACTCAGGGGGAACTGGCCATGGTGGTTAACAGCTCCTCAGACTCAGTGAGGCCGGAAGCGGCAGGACAGAAGGAAATCGGCCTTGGGAAGGACAAGCCATCAGGCTTTGTCGCACTGGCAGGCGCGAGGCACAAGCCGGTCAGATTCAAGGAGGCAGCAGCAGCAGCAGGGAGGAAGGTCAGACTCAAGAAGGACCGGTGCAGCAGCGAGGCAAGGCCACCCGAAGGATACCGGGAGCATGGCCGCGGGGCGGAGCCTCACCCAGCTCCACCCTGAGGGGCTGCGCGAGGCCCGCGTGCTGCACGATGCAGCAGTAGTGGTGCTCATCGCCACTTTTGACTGTCAGTGACGACCAGGCGTGGAAGGAGCCGTCACCGTTGGGGCCGAAGTCGCCCTCGCCGGTGCCAGCGGCCAGCCCATTCCGCTGGAACCGAAGTTGCAGCTCCGGTGGGTAGAAAGAGAAGGCACTGCAGGTGAGCACGGAAAAGCCAGGGCTGCCGGGTCGGGCCTTCAGGCGCATGGAGGGCGGCTCTGCAGGAACCAGGGCGGCAGGTCTAAGCCCCCAGCCCCGAGCCCGCCACTCCCAGGGCCAGGGCTAGATAGGGACTCAAAGAGGCCTCCATGTTTGCACTGCGCTAACCCCGGAGAATACGGTGGTAAAGGGGGAGGCGCTTCCCAGGTGAGAGAGACTCAACTTATCCACCCTGCAGGTGTCTCCTCAAGATGTCATCTCCCTGGGCTGGGCATGGTGGCTCACGCCTATAATCCCAGCACTCCTGGAGGCTGCAGTGGGTGGATCACCTGAGGTCAAGAGTTCCACACCAGCCTGGCCAACAAGGCGAGACCTCGACTCTACTAAAAATAGAAAAATTAGCCGCGTGCCTGTAGTCCCAGCTACTCGGGAGGCCGAGGCAGGAGAATCGCTTGAACGGGGAGGCAGAGTTTGCAGTGAGCCGAGATCGCGCCACTGCACTCCAGCCTGGGTGACAGAGCAAGACCTCGTCTTGGGGGAAAAAAAAAATGATAGAGGATAATTGTGAAAAATTCCACACCAACACATTTGAAAATTTAGAATAAACTCATTCCTGAGAAATACAACCTTCTAAACTGACACAAGAAGAAATTTAAAACGTCAGTAGTCCTGTAACTAAAATGTTTAATCCACAGTTTCAAACATTTTGAAAACTAAAATTCCAGGTCCAGAAGACATCAGTTAAAGAATTCTTCCAAACGACTAATGAAGAAATGATTCCACTCCAATGCAAACTCTTTCAGGGAATAAAACACAGGAAACACTCTCGCAACACGTTTTTTTTTTGTTTTTTTGAGACAGAGTCTCTCTGCAGCCCAGGGTGGAGTGCAGTGGAGTGATCTCAGCTCACTGCAACCTCCACCTCCCAGATCCCGGTTCAAGCAATTCTCATGCCTCAGCCTCCCGAGTAGCTGGTATTACAGGTATGCGCTACCATGCCCGGCTTTTTTTTTTTTTTT